ACCTACTCACTTAGTTAGTGAAAGAGAAGTGTATCGTATTATTCTCCCTCCAAAAAGTAAACTATCACTCAGCTATGGTATGGGATAGTTGCACGCGCTAAATTCAAATAAAGCAGCATTTTTAAAATTATCTTAAATTCTGAACAATGGCAGACTTCAGACTTTTGATTTTTTTAGCTAAAATCTGCTGGGTGAGCACTTGCGATTGTGGAATATGGTCGCCGAACGTTCAAAATGCTTGCACTAGTTCTGGCCGCTACCAGAATCCGTATGATGAGAGTAGCTCGAATTTAATTTGGACATTAACTACAGGTGAAATTTCCAGTCTTGATTTTGTAACGAATGTGAGCCGTATAAAGACGATGAATAACAGAAGTTTTCATTGCGACACATTGCCGCATCATCAATCAATTAACGGACCGCGAAATCTTGTATGGTTTAGATCCAGAAAATACGCTCCGCTAGTGAACAAGAGATAAGAGGTTATTGAAAACAAAAAAAATTTCGATTGACAAGTTAGTCTGTATTATCGACACAGCAATTACAGGACTTTAACAGGGGAACTGAAGAAGAAATTATGTCTGTTTATAGAATTAAAGGGAAAGTATTAGCACAGAAAAATGAAGCAACTTAAACTTACATTGAAAGAAATGGTTAATAAAGTAAACAACTAAATATTAAGCTTTTTTTTTTTTTGAATTTGATACCTTTAGATCAATGCTCTTATTTCATAAATTACAGGTTCATTTTAATTGCATATTTCGATGCCATCTACCAGATTAGTTGATGATCGAATCGGGAAAACCCTAACCCGGAATCACCGAAGTCCGACGAGTCGGAACAGACTTTGTATGTATATGACTGAATTACTACTTTTGATTTTAATGTTTTCAGATTGAAATCAATTTATTTTTGTGTGACCTGAATAGAGGCGCCATAATAAATTTTTTTGCCATTCACTGCTAAGTTTTAATGAAAAAATTTTATTACCGATGTAAAATGAGATATTTACTCGATCAGGGTCTTATGATATATATAAAGTTCGGTTTTAAGTTGATGTTTTTCATATTCCTGCATCTTTATGTTTTATACTCTTCTATCGATCTGTATGTTATCAAAAAATAGTAAAAAGGTTGTTTTAATTAAAATTCTTCCTTTACACAGTTGATAGGGTTGGCATTTATTATATAGTCAGAACATTATTCATTATAGAGTTTTAGTATTTATTAAATATAGTAATTCCATTATGAAATATATATTTTCCTTTTAGAATATATTACATTGTATTTTTTGAGTTGTTAATAGAGCTAGGTTAATTTTTCTTTTCCTTTAAAACATCTTTTGAATCAATTTTTTTTCAGTATGCATGTAAAATTTACTTGATCCATATTTTTCACATTAATGTGAACAGAATGTCTTTTAGGTTAGCTATTTTCATAAAGGAATTAAAATAAAATGATACCCTTTGAAGACTTTCCACGGATAAAACTTTGAAGAAATAGTGCTGAAATGCCAAAGAGGGCACACCAAACCTGAACTGTAACCCTAAAGAACGGTTACAGGGAGTCAGCCTGCACATCTAGTAGCTTTATCATTGGTTATTCTGAAACCAACGCAACTTCCGACCACATGATAAACAGCATCGCACATCAAGTAACCTCTGGCAACCCCTACGAGTTCTACTGGTAAGGAAGTGTTTCAAATGAATACCAAAATTCACTCGTTTTCAAAAGTGATCGCTAATGCTGGATGCAATGATCATTGTTTGAGCAACCGCTGTTTCAATTGAATGAGGCCTTAAATGTAGGAGGTGACTATGTAGAAAAGTGAAGAAAGTTACAGGTGTGTAACAATCATTTTTTGCAATAAATATTGCATTATTCACCTTGTATAACTAACTAAACGGTTTTATTTTCTGGATGGCAGTTGTAATTCTACAGAAATAAATTCTCATTTATTCCATAAAATAGAACATACTTTGATTCTGTAATGCAGAACACTAGTCGAAGTACTAGTCGTCATTCAGCGAATTTACTTCTGTCAAGTTAAAGCATTAGAATTTATTGTTTTAGAAAGTTTTGATTTCTGAAGCATTCTTCTATGCTAATAAATTAATGACAGTATAAGGTGTATTTTATTCTGTTTCTTGCTTGACAGACTTCCTGCTATTTATATTATCCTAAATATGCCTTATGAAAGAATGAAAAAACTAATTCTAAGAGCATTCAAAGTTTTTGTTCTTTTTTATCAGAGAAAAGAAGAAATATTAAAACTGCTTTAGAGCAAACAATGTGGTTAATTTGATTGAACCAATACCTGCTACTATTTCTGTTGAGATTTAGATGAATCCCAAATTTGATCCATTCCCTAAAGAACTAAGTCCTTATTTATTCAGTCATTTTAGTTTCAGAGAAAAAATAAATTCTGTTTTTTGAGATCAGCCGAAGTAAAAATGGTCCCTCAAGGTTAGTAAGAAAAAAAAAAAAAAAAAAAGCTAACCATGTAAAGCTGCTATCACACGTCTGTGTTTCGGAAGAACAACTATTTGGAACAATTTTTCTGTTTTGTCACAACAGCCAATCACCACAGATAGCTTTGCAATTAGCCCAGGGGAAACTGGTTCTATATTACAAACAACCTGATAGCATTCGAAGCTGAGAGCTGATTGGTTCAAAATGAACAACTTTCAATTTTTTCCGAAAAGGGGAAAAATCAGGAGTCTTTCTTTCAATAGTAAACCAGGCAGAAAAACTGTCTGAAACAGTTGTTTGTGTGAAACAAAATGCCGTGTGATATGGGCCTTAGGCATACCTCGTTACCTTTCCTAGATTTCTTCGAACCATAAAGAACCTATTTAACGAGCCATTCACAGTTTCGCCTTCATATGACATGTACTTAGACCTGCATGGCTTAATCTTTGAGACAAGTATATAACTACTGGCAGAATCAACTACGTAACTTTTTTTACGTTCACAGAACATTCGAACTGTACGTAAACTTGAATCCGCCAATGATACTGCACACCTTGGAAATGTGCTGAGAACTGTTGTCCAACAATGGCTCCCTTTTACTTTATTTTACTTGCAGGTAATCTTATCTCATGTTTTCAGTAGCAGTTCAAAATTTACTATGTCATCCACAGCATCAGCAGCAAGAGACAAGCTTTCAAGGACAAAGAGAACAGAGAGACTTTACTGGGTGGGACGCAGATACAAAAAATAGTGTTTCACTTTTTATTACCTCTTTGCAGAGCACAGCACCAGCATAGCAGCCGAGCTGCTCACAGATGTGCTGAAGTTTTCGATTGTCAACCTTGCCTTGAGAAGACGAGAGGGGCCCCCAAAATATACATGCATAATAAATACATTTTAAAATTATAAATCTATCTTCCCCTTTAGTAAAAAAAGCTGCCAAACTGTTCCAAGACAGTCAGACTAACTACTTTCAACTTTCCTTTTAAAATGGCCTTCATAGAAAAAAAAAGGCTTGGAGAGAAACAAAATGGTTGCCAATTTACATGCGTGTTCACATGATTTACATTTCTTCATCCATTGAGCATTTTCTTATTTAAAATATTAGTTCATTTGATACTAAAATCCAATACTTTTATCTTATCAAGAAAAAACAAATGGTTATTGATTTGTACATGCCTAGATGGTTAACACTTCCTCAGTGAAAATGTTCTTAAAACATCAGTTTTCTATTGTTAAGTATTCAATATGCTTATTATTTTCAGTTTGCTATTCATGGAAAAAGATGATACAGCCAGAAAGCAGAATGCTTATGGAAATTGAAAAAAGGCAAAACAAACAACAATGTTCGTGCATCATGTTCACCATGACAATGATTCGTTATTAGTGCAAATACTGACCTGTAGCCACCAGATAACAGTTTGTTGAAAATGAAGTCAAGATTATATTTTTAATATTAAACTGCTCCTGCATATACATATTAAATTAATCAAGTTATGTAGATATATCATAAGTTTTCAATTTGCATTGGTCATAATTTAGTGTCATTTTCTTGACCATTTCAACATTTGGCAGACATTTGAATGACAGAAAATTTAAAATTTAATTTTTACAAAACAATTTAAATTTTAAAAGAATTTCAAATGATTTAAACATTCAAAAATTTTAAACATCGCAGGCCTTTAAATGCACTATGAACCAAGTAAGTAATTAATTTTGTCACGTTCATAACATTTTAAAAAAGCAGAAAATAATTTATAAAATGAGCAGTAACTAAAACACCTCAAAGAAACTTAGTAACTGCATTTACAAATTAATTATACATAGAAGTAAACATTTCTGTGGAAAAAAAAAGTTACACTGTAAGGTAGCCCAAGATAAACGAAAATGAACATAGATGACTTTGCTTGCTTCAAATTCAATTTATCTTGGGCCACTCAATTTGTCTACTCCATAACTGCAGTTAAATATTAACGCAAACATTTTCTACAGAATGTAATATTTGTTGACAACCAGCATTTGAAAAATCAACTTCAATGCATGAGATAAGTTGAAAATGACTTAAAATTTTGGAAAAAAATTTAAGAACAAGGTCATTTTGTTAAATTTTGCACATTTTTCAAGATTAAAAACAAAAATGTACAATTAATGAAAAATATTTTCAAAGCCATACTGAAGTTATAATTCAACTAAGTTATATTATTCAACTTTTGCAGCATTAATATGCCAGACACTATATTTAGAATAGAAATAGGTAAATAAATGACCCAGATGCCAATTTATAAGCGGTTAATGCAGTTAATATCATTAAATTAATCTAAAACAACGTTTCTTAAACCGAGTCATGACCCCCAAATGGGGTTGCAAAGTGAAATGTTGGAGGTCATGAAAATTTAAATCATATGCATAAATTAAAAAATTATATTAATGGGATTAATAAAGAAATTAGTTGACATTAAGAAGATTGATCACCAATCACATATAGCTGAAAAAGAATTTATTGGGGTATCAATTGACAAACTTAAAACATAAGTTTCCACAAAAATCCTTGACTGAATTCTGGATAGAAGCTCAAATAAATTTCCTACAGTTTCTGAAATGTCATTAAATGTTTTGCCATTCAGCACCACATGTTTACATGAAGTGTATTTTTCAACTTTAACACTTATTAAATTCAAATGCCATTCAGTACAAAAAACACTAAATATATTTTATGTCCAACAGTGTGAATCCAGTGCATTCCAAATATAAAACAATTTTTCAAAATCTGATTTTGGAAATGCATATTAATTATTTTAAAAAAGAAAAGAAAAAGGTATTGTTAATAAAATTAACTACAAATTAACAATAACATAACAACAAAATAAAAATAGACATACCAATTGTATTTTCATCTAACATCTTGTGCATCACAGGATGTATACTTTGAACAGCATTCTAGAAGAAATTAATGAAATAAAGCAAACAAAAATTTAGAAATTTTAACAAAATAAAAAACAGATTAATAAGACATATTTACAGGAGGTTTAAAATATGGATTTCGTACAAGTCTCAGAAGTACATTTTAGGTAGGAATATTCAAAATGTTCTTCAAGCTCTGACGTGCGTTAACAACAGACTTCTAAAACACTAAAAATTTTTTATTTTGAAGTGTTTAAATAACGAAAAACTAGAATATGTGCAAGTAGGAAAATATGACAAAATATTAATACTAAGAAACTTTATATGCTGATTAATCACAATTAGATTTAAGTATTTTTAATAACCACTAATGCTTCAAAAGTGTAATACTGAAAGTATGAAATTTTGTAGCACATTCTACACTCTCCTTAGCATATTATCAAATGAATGCATTCCAAAATATTCTGTGAAGATTTCAGATCAGAAAAAGCAAAAGTACTGAAGTATTGATTATAAAGGCATGGTGAACCAACACAGAGCAGCTTATACTTGACCTTTGACATTACACCATAAAGATATATATAAAGACTCTTTAAGAACCACTTTGCATCTTTTATATGAAACCTAAACAATATTTCAGAAATCTGAAGTTACTGTAAATTTCTGAACATAAGCTGATCCGCGTATAAACTGTATATGGGTGCATTTTTTCTTCAAGAATTTACCCCACATTCAAAACCCTTATACAAGACAATATGAAAAAAAATTCTTGGAAAAAAAAAACACCAATGATGACAGTTTCAACTTTGGTAACTTTATCTGAAGATAACACAATTATTCCATACGGTATTTCTCCCCGCCTTCTTGGCGTGCCTTCGTGGTGTGGTTGGTCTGCACGCTGGGCACATATCCCAGAAGTCTGTGGTTCAATTCCTAGCGAAGGCGTTGCTAATTTTTCAATCTCGTTTGCTTCTAAAAAGTCCCGTACTCTTCCGTTTTGCCGGCGCAAGCGATAAAGTCACCAATAATGGTACAACCGATGCCAAACGGAATATACTCGCTGGTAATCTTTTACGCCTCATTTTCAAAACAAGCCGCAGCCTTTTCTTATCAGATTGTTTTTTTTTTTTTTTTTTTTTTTTTTTTTTTTTTTACAATACTGGCATATAATTACATAGAATTTTTATCAGATAGTTCAGTTTTATGTCTAAGGCCATTTTCGGTAATTAAGTCAATTAGGATGCAATCGCAGCGCTTACCCGAAGCCGAAAATATAGAAAAGGTAAAGTCAAGGGTTAAATTCATCAATTCTAATGAGAATGCATTAGCGAAGTAAAGCACTGCAGTTTTACATAATTTCTGAGTAAGCTATTCGTACAAATTGAAATATTTCTCGCATTTAAACTTGTATTCCAAATTAAGATTTAACTTGAAATTAATGTAGATAATTACTGAGAGAATTATATTTTTATAGCATAGTTTACGAGAGATGAGATCACTTAAGGTCACGTGAATCAAGATGTTGTACTATAAAAGCATAGTAAATTCTTAAATTAATGACTTTTTACAAATTTATTGGCTTTATTGGCTTTTTATAAAATTTTAAGCGATATTAAAATGTTTATGCCTTCAAAATAAATTCTTAGATCTAACATTTTTTAATATTTTTTATCTGTATACTGTATGTTGTCGCCAATAAAGTCTGCTTGGCGAGATTTGCGCCGGCAAAATGGAAAAGTACTAAAAGTCCTAATGTCTCTACACTGGCACCGAACTAAAAGGGTGGTAGATGATGATTCTCTTCACTTAGGATTTTGCGACTGGGTTCCCTAAAAAACCCCAGTCGCCCTTTAAAATGGAAAGTATATATAAGGTATTTCTCCCGCCTTCTTGGTGTGGTGGTCTGGACGCTGGGCGCGCATTCCAGAGGTCCGTGGTTCGATTCCCGGCAAAGGCGTTGCTAATTTTTCAATCTTGCTTGCTTCTAAAAAGGTCCTAACGTTTCTACAATTGTCTTGTACACAGTCTGTGGTATCTGATAGCCTTATTTTCTGTGCCATTTTATTTTTTGTCTGAAAGATGAATGGGAAAAGAAATTCTTACATTTCAAATTACACATGATTGTATTTGCTGAAAATTCTAACAGCAGCATGGCTGCTTGGCATTTCTCCGTAAATGAAAAACAAGTTCCAGAAAGGAGAAAGCAGAGCACAAATTTCTCCAAATAGATTTTTCATTTTGAGAGTGATGCTGCAAATTAGCATTATAAACAATTTCAAAAATAAACCAACTCATAAAGCAAATACCTCATTTATTTAAAATTATTTTTTCAATAAACCTTAGAAATATAAACTAAAGAAATAAAAAAGTGTTACATTTTATGATTTATCACTTGCATCTGGCTAACAGAAGTATATGTATGTTTCTAAAAGATTAGTGAACCCCTATATAATTTAGCTTTAAAAAAAGTTCCCAAAATTCTCACTTATACATGGAAAAATACGATATATTTCGAAAGATGCCAAATGGTCAAAACTTTATTAAAACACACATTCATTTAGCTGTTTGCAAATACAACTGAAATATTTTTTTATCAAAAGACTTTTTCATAGCTGGGAAGCTGATTAAACATAGTACAATGGATTTTCTATACATTTAAGGTAAAAAAAAAAATTACATACCATATTATAGTAAAAACTGTGAACACGGATTGCATCATGGAATTTAAAGTGATACGTGCAATTAAGGGAGTCAAAATCAATCTAATTTAGGGTATTTAATGCTAACGAAAATTCATTGAAATTTCACTTGAATTTTCATTTCAATTCATCTTCCAGAATGGGTTATGAATTAATTTCTATAGAATATTTAATAACTCTTAAAGTTCATAATTAATAATCATATCAAATATTTATATTTTACTTCAACAGAGATAAAATTATATTAGCAGAACTTTCATTTAATGAAAAATATAAATTATTAATTCAGCTATTTACTATTATTAACTTTTACATGTAAAAAATAAATTAAAACAATGATAATTTATTATAGCATTGCCAAAAAAAAATTCTTGCAAAGAAAATATAATTCAACACTGGTACCTCAGATGAGAATATACAAAGTGTCCAAATAAAATGTACCTATTTTGAACAGTCGATTAAAAACAAAGTTTTAGCGCTGCAAGGGCGATTTTGGCCACATGTGGGAGCTGAATTCGTCGAGTTTGGTGACAATATTTTGTCCTCACGTCTGACACACCTGCGCTTTTGCCGAGCTGACAAACAGAAAAATGGCATCCCCGCAAGTGAAGGCACAAACTGTTCTCGGGCATGCAGAACACAAATACATAGATAATCCATAAAGACCTTTGTGCCTACATAACAACGGCTATTGCTATTGTGACTCCAGAAATGCTACACCAGACATGGCTGGAACTGTACTACCCATTGGACATTCTCAGGGTTAATAAAGGAGCTCACGTAGAATTGTTTTCATTGTTTAATAAAAACTTTATGAGTATTGGTATCTAATTTTACAGTTTTCTTATGCTTTTAAACTCTTAAGTAGAGCAACATCTCCAAATTAGGTACATTTGATTCAGACACCCTTGTATATTTTTCATAACCATATAGTAACATTTGTATAATTCAACTTATCTACTTAAAAAGTAGACATCTTGCAATCATTACATTAGTTTGTTAGTCTAACAATGCTAATATAATGCTGTCCAACAATCATATTAGTTGGTATTGTTAATTTGCAGTTTTTGTACATTATAGAGTTATTCAATTTTAAAAACATACCTGTATATCATAAGATAGAATTTCAGGATGATAAGCAATGTTTTTTGATTCAAAGTATTCGGTGACATTAGACAGAAGACATATTTCTGGCACAGAAAACAAGTCATTTAATTGCTTCATTCTAGTAAACTGTAACAAAGAATAACATACACATATACATAGTGAAAAAAAAAAATTAAACCTACAAATAATAATCTAGAACACTAAAAGTTGCACTTTTTAAAAAGTTAATATGCAATAAACAAAGATTGGATTAACTTTAACTTACTGGAGGGGGAAGTCAAGAATAAATGTAAAAAATAAATTCACAAAAACACTGAAGAAGCCAAAAATTGACAAAAAAAAAGTGTCACTAATTGTTTTACTTTTGCTGTGATCTAGCACCTTTGGTAAGTTTTTTTTTTTTTTTTTTTTTTTTTTTTTTTTTTTTTTACATTATAACTTCATGTCTTCTTTTTGGAAAATTATTGCATTTTTACCTCCTTGTACAAAGTAATGGAAGTATTGTAATTGTGAAAAATTTTGGGTATCGTATATCGTATTTCAATGAAAAATATCTGAGGAGCAATTCAATGAAAAATATCAATAGCTGAGGAGCAGCAAATACAGATTTCTGACTCTAAAAGGCATTAAAATGGGCAATATTCATCGTTGGATGGTGGCTGTATATGGGGTAGACTGTGTCTAATAAATCAGTGAGAAAGTGAAATGCCCATTCTTTTGAATGGCCAAGAGTGTTTGAGTGATGACCCGAGACCAGGCCAGGCAAACATGGTAATCACAGCGGAACTGATCAATAAGGTGAACGACCTGGTGAGAAGCAATCAACGTGTCGCAATGCAAATGTTGGCAGTGACGGTTGAGGCCAGTGTTGGAACAGGATAGACAATTTATACACAACAAGGTGGGTTGGCAGGTGTGCACACAGTCGGTTCCAAAAAGCTCAGTGAACTGCAAAAGGAACTGCATATGGGGCTAACACTGCAACACCTGTTCCGGTATCATGAAGATCCCACATTCCTGAAGTGGGTCGCCACCAGTGAAGAAGCTGGTGATTTGATTCAGACACCCTGTATATTTTTGAAGTGAAGAAGCTGGTGCCATTATTTCAAGCTAGAGACAAAGCAATGGAAGCAAGCATTTGCCATCCCCCCAAAAAAAATTCAAAGCTGGGCCCTCAGCTGGCAAGGTGATGCTCACTGTCTTTTCAGAAGCCTGAGGTCGGACACTCAAATTTCTCGAGCATGAAAAAATCATAAACAGTTTCGTGTACTGTGAGACACTTTGTAGCCTATGCAAGTCAAGAGCAAACAAACATGGCTGCTCATGAAGTTAGTGATTCTGCTTTACACGTTCCAAGGTCACACAAAGTATAATGGCCAAGTTTTAGTGGGAGCAGCTTGACAATGAGCCCTATAGCCCAAACATGTCACCCTGCAAATTCTCAGTGTTTGGTCTGCTAAAAACACATCTCAAGAGAAGTTATTCCACTCTAATAATGAACTAAAGGACACAGTGGAGAACTGGCTCCTGTCACAGCCATAAGAATTCTAGGAACAAGAAATCCTTCGACTCATGAAAGGGAGAGATAGTTGTGTTCAAGCCTGTGGTGATTAATTGCGAATAAAGACTTCCAATTATACCCACAGTGTTGTTTTGTACCTTTTCATTTGAACACCTCGCATATCTCCCACAATTCAGAAATGATGCACCAAATGTATATTACATATATATTTCCACTCTATTACCTGGCTTGGTGAGCTTAGTTTTTTCATTCTTATATGTTCATTTTGGGTATCTTATACTTTGCTTTAAAAGTGATTGACTTATGTTGTTCTTATGTTTTGGCTAAGATTCGTATGCCTTCAGTTAATCTGCATGCAATAGTTATAGAATTATGAACAATTTAAAAGTTTAAGTGGTGCTATACCTAATGAGGATGCCATTTGTTTACATTTGAAACTTAGTAGATTAGTTAATTAACTCACTTGGTTCACCAACTTCAATGTCCTGCTACACAATGTTAGCAAAACTTAACTTTCAGTTTTTTGCACTGACAATTTTTTTCTTCCGGCCTGCTGGCCGAATTGCTTCTTTTTGCACAGAAACCCTAATTCAAAAAAATGTTTTTAACTGTATTTGTATTCTAGGTTTTTCAGTATTTTAGCCTTCTGCGAAAGTGAGAACTGAACTGATAGAATTAGAAATACATCTCTAATTAAATCTGAGGAAATAAGTTTAAAGTACAGTAAAAAAAATGTGCATAATTTAATAAGCTATACAAAGAAAGTGTGGTGTCCAGATCAGAATTTTTGCTTTCCTTGAAGGGACTGGATTATATAGATACCAGAATTATTGGCCTATGGAAGTCTTCATGGAAGACTTAATGAAACTTGCCTATATTTATGTCACAAAAAAGGTAAACTAAAAAACCTCATGTAGTAAACTGTCTGAAATAAAACCTGGAACAAATTAATAGTGTTTCATCACTTTCTCCACTGGACCAGTGGTTTGCTTGCTTCTTAAGATAATACTGAAAACTAACTGCAACCTCGGTTAGTTAGTGCAAGTAAACACATATATAGAGAGAAAAAGAAGATTTAATAATTTTTTATCTCATAATCCTATTTAGGTGATCCTTTTTTTTTTTACTTCCAATGGCAGATTATGAATAGTTACGGCAAAAAAACAAGAACAAAGAATACAGAAATACAATGAAAAAAAAGAGCTGTATCAGAGTCCATTAATATAACATATCTCTTGCCTCCCAGCAACGCTTGGCAAGAAAAGTCTTATGCAGAGCAGGACAGTGCGGTATATGTGCGGCATCCATCACCTCTCCAGAGCTGTACAGAGTGCATATCATATAAGGAACAGCTTTGAATCTATGAAGATGATATTGTAAGCAGTCATGTCCGGTGGCAAGGCAGAATTCAGCGACCGCTCTACGCCTTGGGCCATTCACAAATTCGGGATAGCATTCTTCCAAGACTTACGAGAAACACGACGATAGAGATCTTCCTGAGCACGTACTTTGATAGATTTTTTAATAAGATCCCTAACAGTATGAAAAGGCAAAGGACAAAAAATATTCTGCATGATTAAAACACCCTTCTTTGCAAAGAAGTCGGCTTTCTCATTACCTGAAATCCTACAGTGGGCAGGAAATCACTGACTATAACAGCTCTTGAGAATTTTTCCAAGTGGCATGGTAGCTGGTACAGAGCTGTGCGAATTGCAGCAATTTCACCGTCAAACGCGGAACCTTGGCCCACAGAGATGTAGAAAGAGAAAATTTTAAAGAAAACTCCGGCACCTGCATTAAAGCCATCAGACAGGAGGGATCCATCAGTGAAGATCCGAAGCCACTCTGGCTCAGAGTAAAAAATATTTAATACTTTGAAAGCGAGGGCTCTCAAAATAGATGGATCCATGTATTAACGGATCCGTTGCTTTTAGACAAAGGTCAAGATTAATTCAGAAAGATTTTAAATTTGATTTTGTAGTGGAACAAATAATTCTGGTTCACTCATTAAACCAAGTCAACTTTTTAATTGAAAAACTCTCTGTAGAAAGCCCACCTGGGTCTTTAGATTTCTAGTCAGATCTTGATCAACTTCATTCCAGAGTGAAAGACATCCAGGAACTCTACTGATCTTTTCCCAGAGAATAAAGGCCTTCTCTTGAATTACGGTTCTTAAGGGTTTATCACTAGTTAACATAAACATGGCATCAATCGGGGTGGTCTTCACGGCTCCAGAAACAACATGTAAGCACTGATTTTGGATTTTTTCTAGAGTACATTTTCTATGGCCACAACAAGTGGTTCACAGCAATAAGTCAGAAGGGGGAGGATAAACGAGTGATAAGTTTAGAGCAGAGTTTGTCTAGTGCAACCCCACCTTGCCCCAGCAAGGCATTTAAGGACACTGAGTCTCTTTGTAGCATGGTTATACAAGTCCTCAACATGTGGCTTCCATGTTAATTTGCAGTCAAACGTCACACCCAAATATTTAAATTTATCGCACAACGGACTTTGGGTACCCTTATAAGTCAGCTGAAGATCCAAAGATTGGTGAATGAGTGAGAAAGTCAGGCAGTATGATTTATTTCAGTTCACCTTTATATTATTAGTATTATACCAAACTCCCAAAGCATTCAAGGCATCAGACAGTTTAGTCTCCATGTTTCTTACTGCACTTTCATTTAAAAAAAAATCCAGAAAACCAAATCATCAGCGTATAAGAAGAACTTGATGCCAGAAATCGCTCGTATTTTTTAAATCAAATCATTAACATAGATGTTAAAAAGGGAGCAGCTACTAACAGCTCCCTGTGGGGGACCTGTTTTTAAGATCTTGGATTTCGATAGAGCATTGCCATACTTGACTCTGAAAGAGCGCTGGCACAGGAAGCCTTTAATCCAATTAAAAAGATTAGCTCTAATGCCTAGCCCAGATAGTTTCAGTAGAAGGCACTCCCACCATACTTTGTCGTAGGGAGACTTGAAGTCAATAAAAACTGTGGTCAGGACCTGTCTATTATCCAAGGCATCCTTGACACATTGACTCAGGAGGGCAACATGTTGGTTAGTAGATATGGAGCTTCTAAACCCCGCCTGTTCCTCGGCAAGAAGTCCGCAAGTTTCTAAGTGATACTTAAGTCTTCTCACAATTATTTTCTCCACAGCCTTCCCTATAATACTAGTAAGCGATATTGGTCTATAGCTACGGAGACTATCCTGATCTTTGTCTTTCTTATGTATGGGAATAATGACAGAAGTTCGCCATTCAGCTGGTACAATACCAGTGTTCCAAATTAGACTGAAAAAGATCCAAACAGTCTCAAATGCTTTAAGACCAAGATGGTGGAGAAACTCGGAATGCATTCTATCTCCACCAGGTGATTTTCCACAAGGAAAGGTTCTCAAAGCATAGGTCAATTTGTATCAAGTAATGGGTGACTCAAAAACTGAATCAGTAGAAGATTCAAATTCAGATTGCAGGAATGTAGTTTTTTACTTAATTCTGGACAAATGTATTTTTGCGTAAGTGTTTTTCTTATTAGCTCTACAGAAATGCTGTGCAAAAGCATTTGCTACAGAAAAATCTGAAGAAAGTTGTTTATCTTTAACTAAGAAGGTTTGTTTAGGTGAACCAGCAGGATCATTCATTAGGTTGCCTACAAATTTAAACATTCTTTTACATCAGTTTGCTAATTTATTTTTTAAATGAAATCATTAAATAAGGATTTAGGTGATCCTTCTCTTTCATTTATACAGATAATATACATATATCTACCTTTTAGACTGATCATTCCCGATTCGAAGCCAAATTTGCTTCGAAGTTTGACTGATGTAAAACATACCACTGTTGTCGCAACAAGAGCAGTTTTTTTCAGCAGCAGCAAAAAATAAAATAGGTTCATAACGCTTAAAAACATACAGGAAATACTAACACTTATATACATTTGTTTTACAATTTCCTACTGAATAAGACATTTTGTAAAAAGTTAGCTATTTTCTATTGAATAATGTTCAATTAAAAAAAATTCACAGCTTTGCTTTATAGCCAGTGAAAGGGACTTTAAAAAATAATAGTGCTTATTACAAATTCAGAGCATATAAAAATAAAATGAAAAATATCTGAAGGCTATATGTCATCCATTTCCAAACTTGTAAAAAATTTGAGAGGAAAATAATTGCTTTAGATTCCGCATGTTGGACAGCTTGTATTTTGAAATGGATCACAAAACATTACAGATTGTAAACCATGAAATAGTTCACGTGCCAATATACGAATACTTACTGGAGAATATGGATTTGTATAACTATAGCAACAGCCACTTTGTCAACATTTCTGCTACTTACAAGATACATTCCACTTCTTAACAACATATTCAGTTTGCTGGTTTCAATTGCATAGTTTTCTTTAATGTGGTTTTCAACCCTAATTTTATAATCAATGATTTTGTCTTGGATAAAATAATATTTCTAAATTTATACCAGACCTTTTTAAAATAATCATTGTGGACATAACTGCCAGTCTGCCTTTAATAATGTTCTTTATTAGCTAAAATGAGTTGGAAATTTTAGAATACAGTTTTAAATGACGACTTTTTAAAAAATATAAAATTTTTAATTTAACTACTTTTCAGCATTCTAAATTACACATCAATAAATACAAGCTTCTGATCTTGTAACAAACTATTATTTATTACTTTGAACTAGAAATTTAACACTATTTGAATAATGATTTAGAAATATAAGAAATCTTACTTCAGTACTAGAGCCTCTTATCATTTCTTGAGGTATATAAGAACCACCATAAATAGAAATAACTTCTTCCTTGCTTAAAGGAGTCATTCCTCTGGAAAAAGGAAGGGGGAAAAAATATAAGACTTAAAATTTTATATTGTTATAAAACAGAAGATTAGAAAATTTCACACACAGCCACAATTCTCAAAATCTAAGACACAGAGATTAATATTTAGACCAATATTTAAAAAAATACACACTAAGGTTACATCTTGAAATAGTTAAATCATTATGATAGTATACAATTCCTGATAGGAATAGATGAGGGCACTTTTGAGATTATAATAACAGAGATGAATTTTTCATAAATATTTCAAGTTTGGGAGACAAGTTACATCAGAAAAATTAATATACTTTTAAAGAATACAAATGTTTAAATAAAAACACAAAATAATTTTTTGATTTGATTCCGTTTTAATAACTGTGTACTTAAAATTATAATAGTTTCATGTTACTTTATCTAAAACTTGGAATAGACTTACTATAAAAACAAAAGCTATTATTAAGGTGGCAGAAAGTTCATATTAGCATAACGAAAAGGAAGGATTTTCATTATATGGTATACAATTTTTTAATACAGTTTCTACCATTATTAGAACACTTATTGCAACACAATAATAATTCACAAAATGTTATCTAGGATTTAAAAAAAGAAAAAAAGAATAAATTAACTCTTAAGTAAAATGTCTTGAGCTCTTGCATTTTAGTAACAGAAAATACAGGGAACATGATAAAATCATAATTTGCCCTATTTTCATAAATTATTTCTTTAATGAAATGCACCAAAATTATTAAGTATTTCACAGATGCAGGCCATTTATATCTCAAACATTTTAAATACACAGAACAATGCACCCCATAACTAAAATTGTTTCACTGTGCAATGTATGGCTGTCAGTCAGAGCTGGATAAGAACCAGTCATTTTTATTTGCACTCACTGGAATCATTAATTTTACATTACAGGAATCATTACTCTTACATTCACTGGATGCCCATTAGTAAATGGAATAGTTTTTAGTTTCAATCTCATGCAACCATCAGTGTTTCAAAATTTCTGAATTTAATTATTCACTTTACTTTGATAGATAATACATATATTTGATGGGGATTAGTTTCTGAAAAATAATGCTCAAATAAAATATCATGAAAAAGGAATAAAATGACTGCAAATGGGAATACATATTATGTATGTAGATCCAACTAAATAAAAGTGGGGAAAGTGATGGATGATGGGGCAAAATTTAAAGGAAACTATGTGAAATTATCAGTACAGTTAACAGGCACAATACAATGAAAAAATAACAGAATGGAAAAAGTAACATCTTTGATTGTGCTGATACAAGGCTATTGCAGAACTTAACGATTTATGTATGATGATCCATCATGGGACTTTTACATCACCACTTTTTATCATGGTAACATCATGGACATATCTCATGATTATACTGGTGTTACAGTTAGAATCATGGCCATAGCTTATGTAATGTGGATTTTTATGCTATGCTATTATGTAAGCATGATGTAAAATATATGTATATTTAATGTAAGTGTATATATTTCTGATATTGTAATGATTGCCTTTTAGTCTGCTAACCCTTTTCTTAGTAGAGTCTAGCTAGATACTTTTAAGTGTATCTACCAGGATGATAAAACTGGACAGTGGTAACTCTTGATGGTGTTCAAAGCTAGAGTTGGATTAACCATTAAGCAAAATAAGCATATTCTTAGGGCATCCAGAAAGGAAGGCACCATGAAAAATTCTCCCTGCCAGTTTTACCACAGAAAGGTGCAGAAGAAGTGGAAGAAAAAGTGCATAAAAATAGGCATAGATGTGGGTGGCAATAAAACTTTCTGGATATCCTTCTTTTATGATAATTATATGTACTGTATACTTATCAGAAAACCATTCTGAATAATACACACTAATCCTGATTGCATTCCTTTTAATTGGAACTCAATGATAAAACTACTTTTGTCTTCATAACTAATCTCTATGCTATATTTTTTTACATAATAACTTGCACAAAAAAGTAACGAAATAAAACTGCTACTTTATTTTATCTTACAATGTTAAAACCACAGTCAAACCTCACTATAACAAATTTCAAGGGAACTGAAGTTTGGTTCACTGTATTCAGTCCAACATGAAAAATGGATAATGAAGATTAAGAAAAAAATTGACTTACATTGTCACATTTACCAAATGAAGTGAATAAATTAATCTAATTTTTAAAAAAAATATATCAAGATTTGATTACATTATTACAATACAAATCATACAAATGTAACAATTTGAAATATTTGTCCCGATACTGGTAGGCGATGATTTCTTCGAATGGCAAACCATTTCAACAATGCTTCAACATCTCTAAGTTCTCTACCTTCAACTTTCCCCTCATATTCAAATTTTTTCCATGAGCAGAAATTATGAAGTTTTGATTTTTTCATAAGGTACCAACTGTAGTTTTGGTTAAAGTATTTCTCACAGATATCATTTGGCTCCAACCATACTGTATTTATTAAATAATGTTCACCTTATCTTCAGCATGGAACCTTTACATTTACAGTTTGCCAGGCAGATGAATTCTTGACAAAGAAACAGTATATTGAGAATAAGGGCAAAGAATATGCAAGACCTTTACTATTCTGGAAAAGGAAAGGTAAGATAATTTCATCACCTATGTTTCTTAGCTAATGGCCAGTAATAACAATCATTTCTTCCAAGATATGCATGACTGTAACAAAGATTTAATAACATTTACAAAGAATGCCTTATAAAAGAACTAAAATATGCAAAACTTCCATTTGGAAAATAGAGCCTAAGAGCGCATTAATACCCTAACTGTTAAGAATAAAACATTTTCAGCCCCTAAAAGCAGAATCAATTGTAAAACCTTGTAAGATTCACCACTTCCTCTTTTCCAGAATAACAAGTGTCCACCATAGTATTAGCATTGAATAGAGTTTTGTCTGGCAGCTCAATCAAACAATTTGAGGGAAATCTGAGAATTCCTTTACATTTTTGGTATAATGGTCACATACACTATATGGTGTTCTACAATATACTTCTTGTATTCTCCTTCTCATAGAGCTGAGTGCCACAACTGTCTTTCATAGCCTTTGTTTAGAACAGAGGAAAATAGGGGTAAAGATGAAAGGCAAATAATGTAAAGATGTTTTTCTTGGAATGTGAATCCTAACATCCTAAATGCGGATGACTTAGTGTTAGTAATTTTTGTCATTAAAACTTGCAGAAATTCTGGTAAAATGTATACAAAATACAAAAAGTCTCAATCAAAGATATTCATACAGTTTATTACATCTGAGTTTCATACTCTTGGAAATTTGCCATAACCATATAGAATTAAGACACAATAGCACGCCGAATAAATACTAATTCAGAAGTCAAATCACTTCTGAATTAGCATATAGAATTACATTAAGTGTATAAGAAACTGAAAGGGACCAAAAGTTTAATTCGTTATAAGCCAAGTTCATTAAATTAATTTAATTGTAATTTAAATTTCATGGATCACAGGAATATGATTAATGTTAGAAGTGTTCAATGTTATAATGTTAATTAAATTATATAAAACAAAGAAAAACATAACACTGTCACAAAATGCACACAATTTACAGATAAGTCTGTTAGTACTTACCTGTATACACTTTCAAACTGTATCTGATGAAAAGAATCAATCTTCATTAAAACACCCTAGAAAAATTTTAATCACCTGAAATTATTCTACAAATTTGATTTTATGCATTTATCGTGAAATTAAAAGACTACGTTATACATTACTCTAGACCAAATTCTCAATTACTTTCAAGCATCTAACATTTTAAATAACATAATAATATGATAAGTTGGCCAGTTAGCATGAGTCGAATAAATTAGGTTTCCAAATATTAAGAAATAGTTCTAATATGCTCCAGTTTCATAATTCCTATATTTCTGAAATGTTCAGTTTCATAGACAATGCTAACTATTTTGTTATATTATTTACATCAAATATTTTATGCTATTGCATATTTGTTTAAGAGAAACAAGTTAATGGTTAGCAGTTACAATTACCATCAATGTTTAAATCTCAAATAAAATTATTGTTCTACACATACTACATATATATATATTCTATACAAAATTAATGACGGCATACAAATTTATGGTAACGAAAAGTATGCAACTTCAATGCTATCTACCATATTTAGCCAAATTTCAGATCTCATCAATCAAATAGAGCTAACTTATACACACAGAAATCTACATGTCATTCATTCACCTGCATTTCTTCACAGGGTTTGTACACATTTCTGCACACGAAAATTAAGTACTTTTAAGGACTTTTAAGGACCATTAATGAAAAAAATTAAGGACCTATAAGCAAATGGAAACTGAATAAATTCAATTAAAGATATCTATGCCTGAATTTCACTTTTGTAATACCATAGATCCCTAAGTAGTAAGCATTATTGCTAAAAATGAATTAACATAATTGTGAATAAGTTTGAGAATAAAAAAAACTTTATGCAATTTATCAAGTAGCATTAAATATTTTACACTTATGATAGTTGGTCATATTTGAAAGAAGATAAGTGACATTTACGTTTTACTAACAATTAGCATTATGTTGATTTTTTTTTTTTTTTATGTCTTATTTTGTCACATACTTGGTCAGTCTAGAGGTTTAGTAAATAAGCAGGTAGATTTTTATGTCAAACTGCATAGGTTAAAATAAGAAGTAAAATTATAATCAACATGATTCATAGCAAAAGACTGAATGTTGTCACCGCTGCTGCTTGTCTAGAGAGAGACCTGCTGATTATCACAAACATGAAAAGCCTGATGTAGGCAAGGTTGGCAAGTGTTGAAAGTTAGTCAGGCTCTGTTTGATGCAGTTAGTGTCATAGCTTCATGTACAGTTCCAGGGGTTGTAACCCAGTTAATATACTTTAAGGTTCCAATAAGCCATTAAAGCACGAGAGGTGATATGTTGTTTTGTATTATTTTAAGTCTCAGTAGATGCATTAGAATACGTTTTACTTCAATTTTTACATTTTTATATTTTATCTTGTGACCACAGTGAGTATTAATGAAAGGCAATAACTCGCTTTAATATGTGGAGATAATTTTTAAGGATAAGCAGTTAGTTATAATTAAATTAGGTAGTTTGATAACCTGTCATTATGGATTTACATGACCACTATTAAAATTTATTTTTTAACAATATTTGTTAAAAAAGCTCTATTAAAATCAAAATCTAATGAAATTTCACAGTTTAAAATGCATGTAATTTATGACACAGATTTTTAAACGATATTAAGATAATTACACATTAAAAGCTACAAAACATTTATGTTTTGTAACGTTTATATCGATTTTCTTTTCTTTTAAGCATCTTTTCTAACAATTAGAGATTTGTCTCACTATGCAAACCAATGATCTCGCTAATTTCTGCGTGCTTTATCTCCTAACTTGTCAACCTCTCCATAATGTACCTATGAGGGTTTAATTGATCAGGTAAAAGTTAAATAGTCCAAAACCCTTGACAGACGTGGAGCATATTATCGCTATGTCTGAAATTAACTACAATATCAGACAAAGGTTTAAATAAGCCTCTTATTTAAAAAGAACTTAGAACAAACATAAAGCATGTTCTGATGTTAACAAAATCAATTACAGCTCACGGTGATGTAATTTAAACAGAACAGTCAAATTCAAACTAATAATGTGGACTAGTGGTCAAAGATTATACAATTAAATTTAATTAATCTGGCTTAATAACTCTATCATATGAGGAAATAGAAATGGGAAATTATAGTAAAGGTTGAAATCATAAACAATTGGGTAATTTACATAATAATAACTGCACATATCTTTGAAGAATAATTCCTTTACGTACTCAGTTTCTTTTTTTAACACTTTTCCTTTTCATTTTAGAATTTTTGGAATTAATTAAGGATTTTTTATTCTAAAAAACACTAAATGCATTTAGAATGTACAGAAAAATTGGCTATTTTTATTTGTTTAGTAATATGAACATTCAGAAACAATATGAAATATATATAGTAATGGCCGGCTACAGAGCTGGTGTGGCAGAATTTCTAGAATTAAGTGACACACCAAAACAACAAAATCTAGAAATAGCAAAACTTTTAGAATTTAGAGCATGCACTAGAAGCAGAATTTAAAAAGGCACTAGGCAGCAGAATTTAGGATCCACGAGGTGGAAAATGCCACATCAGGTGGGATCCACATCAGGCGGGAAAATGTCTAGTGCCAGCTATGTGTATGATGCATTAAGAAATATTAGATGAATCTTTTAAATTTAAGTTTTCAATTTCTTTATTAATAAAAAAATCCCTTTCTATAATGCCTGCCAATGTGATAAGATCTGAAGCATTTTTGATATTTTTGATACTTCTGTCTAGTGAAAAGTAGAGAAAATAAAGAGAAGATAAACATGTTAAGATTCTAGTATCGGAAGGAATACATTCAAATATTATGTTTTCATTGTTCTTCCAGATGTTCTCCCAAAAATTAAGAAATTCATTGCAAACTTTCTGTAAAATACACCCATTACGTGTTGATACTATGGAGACATTTTTCAATTTGTCACATATTTCTCGAATCTTCTAGAATCGTGGGTCTATAAATCTTGCCTTCAAATCCTTCTAAACTTTCCAAGCTGTAATGTCTAAAATCCTAAAGAAACATTATCCCTACCAATTCTGTAACAAAACAAAAAAAAAAAAAAAAAAAAAAAAAAAAAAAAGCCAGAAATATTTTGGAAACAAAAAAGGAAGGAAAAACTGTAAAACTAATTTTATAGAGAAAACTCATGCATATTTTGAGAATTTTGAATACTCTGACTGAGACAATTACATGGGAAAAACTCTTACTTTGACAAATATTAAAAAGAAGACATTTTTAATTAATTACATAGCTAATTTTGCTTTTGCTAAGAGCTGTTTTGTAAATTGTGCTTTATAGCATTATATTTAGTCCAAAGGGACTTGAGTCCCGAAGTACTATTACTTTCATTTTGGCATTTTGCATCGGACGGATAAATGTCGGTTCACTTTTCAAACTGTTGCCATAAAATGTTAGAGTCCTGCATTATATTTGAAGAAATTAAATAATGAAAATCTGCGTAAATGTATGTATATTTCTCGCATTGTCATAAATAACGGTACATAGAGTCATCGAATTTTGAATAACGTAATCCTCCAACGAATATGAGCATGTGGAAGACCAAATTTGAAATTTGAAATTTGTTTTATGATCGATTTCCTATTTTTTAAAACTTTGACGAATTTTTGATTAACAAACTCAAGGATTTCAAAGCGAGCAATGGCAACGTTGTGCAGAAAAAACATTTTTATCTCCAGCGCGTGAGTCTCTGTATCGGAAATTCTAAAGATATGCTCGTTTTAAAACTATTTTGCGATATTGCTGTTGCACTGGATCTTATGGTTTAAGTGCGAGGAAATGATATTTAATAAAGAAGGTAACATACAAATGTTAAAAAACGCCCTTTGGACGTAATTTAAAATCTGAACATTTCAGATTTATTTATTTATTTATTTATTAAATTTTTTTATTTATTTATTTTTCAGATTTAAAATATTGTATAAGTTGCCAAAATTATACTTTATACGACAGCGAAAAATAAAAATTTATTTTAATGTATTTTCTAAAATAATTTCAATATTCCATTATTTTAATGAAATTTATCAATGTATGATGTTTAAAAAAAACATCGAAAATTTTCCGATTTTGGAATTAAAAAGTTTCTATAGAAACTAATCTTAAAATTGCCAAAAGGTTGAAAAGTCGCAAATTTAGAACCGCTTAATAAAAGAATTCCCATCCCCAAAAGCGAAAATTTGTATAAGAGCTCTTTACTAGAAAAAATGAATTTCGAAATGCTTATGTTTCACTTCTTGCTTAGAAACTCGAGTATCCCATCATTTATTAGAAAATAGAAACAAATAGAACTCATGAACCCATTCAAAGATAACCATATATACGCAGTGAACGCCAAACAATTCTCAAAATGCTAATTTACACTGAAAATGACAGTGGTAAAAACAGACAGAAATTTCAGATGATTAAAATTAAGGACCTTCTGTACATTTTGGCCAAAATTAAGGACTTTTAAGGACCAAAAATCTAAGGACTTTTAAGGACCGTACGAACCCTGCTTTAACAAAGGCCTGTCTTGAAATTTCAGTCTAGAGACTAACGTTAAGACCCAAGAGACAACATATCTGTATAAAATCAGATATGCAAAGGATAAGAAAAATTCCTAATCCAGTTGCTGTCTTTCCTGTAACTTCTAACAAGTCATTTTAGTAAAATGTAGTTTTGCAGGAATTGGGCACCACCACGCCACAGGAATACTTTAATGAATTTCAGCAAGATGTTGTAGTTACTAAGAGTACAGTTAGTTGCAGTTATTAACAATACAGTGGATACACTGAGGCCTAACAAAAAAACAGCCATATAGGAATTAAATATGTGAACTCTTGCTGAATGCTTATTTTATGCAGGTAGATCTCTTTCAGCTAAAATATTTGTAGCAAAATTAAGCGAAGCATTAATATAGCAGTAAAATGGCAAAAACATTTCCTATGCCAAATCAATTAATAAAACCCTCTACTGAAACTTGCTCTCAAAGATAAGCATGTGCAAGTGATAAACTCTGCAGATTTATGCACAATTAATTACACTTAAGTCTGCTGTTTATCAACATCTAATAATTCTGAATATAGACTGCACCTTGTAGTTGTCAAGGTCAAACCAAGATGAAAGCTACAATCACTAACTTGCATTACATTCATTCTCTCAATTTTCAAATAATGTTATATTAGCTCGGTGACTCAGTTCAAGGGCAATGAACCCCAAATTTGGAATCAAACAGCAAATAATCACGAACAGAGCTTATTCAAAGGTATATTGAAACTCATACTTAAAAGATATATTTAAATTGAATCTTGTTTATATTGCCTCAACCTCTTTATACATCATTACAGTAGAAATTCAGAATGCTTTACTAAAAAGACTTTTCATAAATATTTTAAATGAATAAATCTAAATCAGCAATCTAATGTTTGTTCAAATCTTTTAAATGGCAAATGTGGATTACATCATTAAAAATTCTGAACGAAAGTAAGGCCTTTTGTACAATATATCTCAAGAAAAGAATTTATGTTCACACAATAGCAAATTTAAGGAAAAATATTAGCTATATATAAAGATATGTAAAAATTTTACATTGACTGTTAATTTTACCTACAAATATAACATACTAAAAACTATTCTATTTTATCTACTGTCATACATAAATAAGAAAAGGGAAAACGCATTAGCATAATGAATCCTTAATACAGCTACAGTTTTTTTATAGGATTGGATTGTGTCAATAAAATAATAACCACAAATTATTTAACTAAAATAATGCCACTTTTGAAACATAATACTCCAGTTTTCTCCATCAAATCTTGCATTTTTTATATAAACACACTGTATAATTAGCATAGTAATTACAGTAAAAATAAGATATTTTAAATGGGAAAAGGTATTACATAATTGTTATGTTTTAAACATAAAAAAGAATTTTAACAAAAGCTTTTGTAATTAAATTGATAATTTTTTTTTTCAAGTCTTAAGTAATAAATTTATTTTACGCTTTCTTTATGTGCCATTTTACATGTGATAACTACATAACTTGGCAAGTTCTTTACATGTCAAGTTATCTAGTTTGACTTTAGTCTTGTATATTCAGTTTTAGTAAGTATGACTACATTTAATGAAAGTTTCATACTTTCATTAAATGTAGTCATTAATGAATTAACTTTATTAAATGTAACTACATTTAATAAAGTTTCATACTAGATCCTTCTCTAAGCATGACTATAAGTGTTATTTAAATAATAAAATATTTAAAAAGCATATTTAAATATGTTTGTGTACATAAGCATTAATATAGTTTAATAAATATTTTTTAAAATACCTTTTGCATATCATAATGGAGTCCACGTATCGCAAACCCAGGCTGGTAATCCAGCTGCCGAATTTCCGAAGGATACTATAAAATGAAATGTTCAATGATGAAAATAAACAGAATTATTAAAAATAAAATATTTTCTTATTATTAATCTAGTTTTACAGATTACCTGGACATATTAAAGAGTAACAAATAATGCGAGATACTGTTGATGATTTATTTTTGATATTACCAGATTTAACATTAAGAATGTTAAAAATAAGAGTGTTTCATGAATAACATTTGCTTATCTAAACTAACTCTTCCTACATTTAGTGGTAATATTGAAAATGATTATCATTTAGTGATTTATTTAAAACAGCCATTCTAAATAATGCCAAATTATTAGAAACACAAAAGCTTCAACATTTAAAAAGTGCTCCTTAAAAGCAGATATGTTAAAAATTATTAAATTCTTAACAAATTAAGACAGGAATTTTGAAATTGTTTAAGTTCATTTGCCAGATATTTTTTACATAAAAAGAGTTACGAGGGCCATCCAGGAAGTAGATTACGTTTCCGTCTGTGTCCGCTAGGGGCAGGGCTAGCGCGGCCATCTTGGGGTCAGAGCGTTGCGCAGCTCAGTCTGCATCTAGCCGTGCTAGTGAGAGTCATGCTGTGCTCCGTTCAGATACTGTGACGGTTTGAAATGTTCTGCGTTAATTGAAAATCCCGCGAGCTGCGAGTGCGCTCAGTAATAAGGTTTTCTGACTGCAAAAAAACTGTAAACCGATGAATCTATCGGCAGCTTCCGTGAGTGTATGGGGACAACATTATCACTGAAGGTGGGTGCTCAGTGGGGTCATAAGATTTCAAAATGGCCGAACCAATGTTCACGCGAAGTCGAAGTGGGAGACCCAGCATAGGACCGCCGAACTTCTCGAAAAAGTCGATGCTAAAGTCCTGAAAATCGAAATTTCACAATAACGGAACTTTCTTTGAGTTTTCCACAAATTTCGCGAAGTTTGTTGCACGAAATCATCAGCGAAAAGCTTGGTTACCACAAGTTTTGTGCAAGATGGATTCAAAAATCTTGACAGAGGACCACAAAAATCAGCGAATGGCTGCAGTGTTGAACTTTTGGACACTTACCATAAGGATGATGACTTTACTACTCGTCGCATCGTTACTGTGACGAAACATGGGTGAAACATGTGAACTGTGAAACGAAATTGCAATCAATGCAGTGGGGCACACAAGTCTCCCCAAAACCCAAGAAATGCATGCAAACAATGTCGGCAAGGAAGATGATGGCGACTGTTTCTTGGGACAGAAAAGGTGTAATTTGGTGGACTTCCTGGAAAGAGGCACTACAATAAACTCTCAAAGGTATTGCCAAACTCTCCAAAAAACTCAGAAGGCAATTCAAAACAAGCGCAGAGGAATGTTGAGCTCTAAGATCTTGTTGATTCACGACAACGCCCGGCCCCACACGGCAAATGTCACTCGAAAGTTCTTGAATCTTTAAGTGGGAGTTGTTTCCTCATCCGCCGTACAGTCCGACCTGGCACCCCAGCGCCTTCCACCTATTCCCAGCAAGAAGAAGTGGCTGGCTATGCAGCGTTTTGATGACGACGCACAGCTGCAAGAAGAGGTAACGAAGTGGTTTGAAGGCGCAGGCGGCCGAATTTTTCGACGAAGGAATTTCCAAGCTCGTACATCGCTACGATAAATGCCTTAATTTGTATGGTGACTATGTAGAAAAGTAGTATTTGAGTGTGGCTTTCATCTGCATATAATAAAATTTGTTTCCTATACTTTGTTTATTTTTTTATTCCAAAACGTAATCTACTTTCTGGATAGCCCTCGTACTTTCAGCACTGTTAAAAGAATTATTTATCAAATTTAACAGCAGAAAATCCCAGCCAGCTTTTTTCTTTCAAGAGAATGTGCAAGCTTTTTTAAGACTTCAGTTTTCAATACAAAATAATTTAAAGATACTATTTTAATGTCTATAGTGAAATTTAAACTAGTGTCTTTTATAAGGGAATGGTGGGAAAAAAGTTTGGAGTAAGAGGAAATTTTGAAATTCTAACCCTTTTAATGATATTAGAACTTTTTATATCTTATGCTAAAATTTCGAGAACTAGTAAACAGTATTAAACGGTCACTGGTAAATAATTTTAAGTTAATATTAAATATTAAGAGGCAAAATGTTAAACATAAGTTTATCTCATTGGCTACCAAGATTCATGCACAGTGTACTTAGCAAAAAATTTGAAATGCAACAAGTTTTTAAATCTGAATTCTGTTAATTTTGTCAAGAAAAATAATCTATGTTTTAATTGTTTTAACTTCAATTCAAGTTATCTATGTTATTACAGAGGAATATAAAAAGATCAGATTTATCTAAAAGATATATGAAGTTTTTATTTTATGTCCGAGATTGTCGGTTACAAAAACTAGTGGAATGAAGCAAAGAACTTCTGTTCTATATTTTTCATTGAAAATGTCATTTATAATAGTAGGTTTATAATCAACAGGATAATAGGAAGGTTGTCACATTTTACATTATTAGCTCTCTCAAATTGTGAAAGTCAATTTGCATGTAGGCCTAATGCACAATCCAATGCGTCGGACCATAAATTTTTAGCAAAATGAAAATTTTTTTAACAAAATAAAAAATATTTCAACTAAATTTTCAATTTTGCTTACTTAATTTTAATAGAATATAAATAAATAATAATAATAATGCAAAGGAACTTATTTTCTATCTGAAATCTAGAATTTGGTTGCCTGCAAGATATTGTTCGTCATACTTAGCAATTCAAATATATTGACAGTTACATACTACACTTTCAGACTGGCATGTCTTTCAATTAATTATTATATAACTTGCATTAAATTAACAGTAAAAAATTAAAGAAAATGTTTTTAATTTTCAGAGGAAGCTTTCCAAATGGGACAAAACTTGAGAATAAATAATTACAACCTAGTCTCTCTCTCATATTAAATTCCTTTTGACATATAAATTAAAATAGAGCTGTTTGTATGTAAATAATTATAAATTTTTTACATAAATTCAAAATTTGCTTGTATAATATAAATTTATAGATAATTACAAGTTTTGTATATAAATTCAAAATAATTTGTTCATGAACAGGAGAAAATTTTAAATTATCTCCATCAATGGACTATAGATGCTCATCAATCAAATAGTTTATTTTCTTAACTGCGAAAAATGGTCTTCCCCTACACACATAAATTTACACAATAGAGCATTTTTCTTCACTGTGTTACATTTTTCTTCTTGAAGTCATACTGTCAGCTAGTGTATTTCTCATGAGTAACTGTTGGTGGCAGTGTATTTCCTGGCACAAAACCTTAAAGATTATATGTGCTTAACATATGTCGGACATTTTCAAATACAAGTGATAGACAAATAGACAAGATTAAAACCACAGAAAAAGGATAAAATCCAAAAAGCTGATAAAATACCATAAATGTTTAAAATAAGTAACTGCACAGACCTCGAATAATAATCTCAGAAGCAAAACAGCAGGAGTAACAGGCCAGATGTCAAGGCACTTATGCAGTAGTTCGAAAGAAACACTTAACTTAAACATTAGCTTGCACATATTCACAAAAATTATATTAATAATTAATAATTAGACATTTAATTTTAATTGAAAAGTTAGTTATTTAAATTATGTTTCTCTTTTCAATTAAGTCTATTGCAATTTGGAAAAACAAAAGTTATTATTTCTTATTTAATCTGCCGGCTATTGATAAAAACGAAAGTAGAATCTGAATCTAAATGGTACTATGCAACATTGTTGCTTTGTGCTCTCTTATATTCACTATGTGTTTTAGTCTACAAATTCTATAAGAAAAGCATTAATATATCTATAATCCACTCAAAGCTAGGTTAAGTTCAATATACGAGGGCTATCCAGAAAGTAGATTACGTTTAGGAATAAAAAAATAAACAAAGTATAGGAAACAAATTTTATTATATACAGATGAAAGCCACACTCAAATACTACTTTTCTACATAGTCACCATACAAATTAAGGCATTTATCGTAGCGATGTACGAGCTTGGAAATTCCTTCGTCGAAAAATTCGGCCGCCTGCGCCTTCAACCACTTCGTTACCTCTTCTTGCAGCTGTGCGTCGTCATCAAAACGCTGCATAGCCAGCCACTCTTCATGCTGGGAATAGGTGGAAGTCGCTCGGTGCCAGGTCGGGACTGTACGGCGGATGAGGAAACAACTCCCACTTAAAAGATTCAAGAACTTACGAGTGACTTTGCCGTGTGGGGCCGGGCGTTGTCGTGAATCAACAAGATCTTAGAGCTCAACATTCCTCTGCGCTTGTTTTGAATTGCTCTTCTGAGTTTTTTTGGAGAGTTTGGCAATACCTTTGAGAGTTTATTGTAGTGCCTCTTTCCAGGAAGTCCACCAAATTACACCTTTTCTGTCCCAAAAAACAGTCGCCATCATCTTCCTTGCCGACATTGTTTGCATGCATTTCTTGGGTTTTGGGGGAGAACTTGTGTGCCCCCACTGCATTGATTGCAATTTTCGTTTCACAGTTCACATGTTTCACCCATGTTTCGTCACCAGTAACGATGCGATCGAGTAAAGAGTAACCATCCTTATGGTAAGCGTCCTAAAAAAGTTCAACGCTTGCAGCCATTTCGCTGATTTTTGTGGTCCTCTTGTCAAGATTTTTGGAATCCATCTTGCACAAAACTTGTGGTAACCAAGCTTTCGCTGATGATTTCGTGCAACAAACTTCGCGAAATTTGTGGAAAACTTAAAGAAAGTTCCGTTATTGTGAAATTTCGATTTTCACGGAACGTTTAGCATCGACTTTTTCGAGAAGTTCGGCGGTCACTATGCTGGGTCTCCCACTTCGACCTTCGTCGTGAACATTGGTTCGGCCATTTTGAAATCTTATGACCCACTGACGCACTCCACCTTCAGTGATAATGTTGTCCCCATACACTTCACGAAGCTGCCGATAGATTTCTATCGGTTTACAGTTTTTTGCAGTCAGAAACCTTATTACTGAGCGCACCTCGCAGCTCGCGGGATT